AGGGTCCTGGGATCGAGCCCCGCATCGGGCTCCCTGCTCAGCAGGAAGCCTGCTTCTCCCTCTCCCACTCCCCCTGCTTGTGTTCCTGCTCTCACTGTCTCTCTCTGTCAAATAAATAAAATCTTTAAAAAAAGAAAATACTTTAAAATAAAGTAGTATGAATTGTAATGTGTAATTTCTTGGGCACAACAAGAACAACAACAACAACAAAAACCCTTATAAATTTCCAAATCTCTTAAATAGGGAGCAATACACCTCATTGAGAACCATTAGTCTACATATAGAAAACCCACCAAAAAACACATACAAAAACATCTTGCAGATAATTGATTAATTTTTAAAAGTACCAAGTTTTCCAGATACAGAATCAACATACAAAAATCAATTTAATTTCTATATAGTAGTAATAAGCAGTCAGGAAAAGTCATTTTTTAAAAGTACCACCATAATAGAGGGGCACGTGGGTGGCTCAGTTGCTTAAGGGTCCGACTCTTGATTTCAGCTCAGGTCATGATCTCAGGGCTGTGAGATCGAGCCCCATATAGGGCTCCTGCTTAAGATTCTCTCTCACCCTCTCCCTCTGCACCTCCCCCCTCTACCCCCCACACCCTACTCACATGCTCTCTCTCTAAGAGAAAAAAAAATACCGTAATAGAAACAAAAAGCTACCTAAGAATGAATCTAAAAGACGTGCAAGAAAATAATAAAAAATTATTTTAAGAGGTTTTTTTTTTAACATCTTAATTAACATGGAGAGACATCATGTTGTAAAGCACCTCTAAGTCCCGGACTGCCTTGAATCCTTGCCCCAACCAGGGAACAGGGATTATTATCATCCCCACTGGCCCGATGTGGAGACTGAGGCCCGGGTAGGAGAATGAGCTGCTCAAGGTCACACGAGTCTTCTAGACCCAGGCCTCCTGCCTGCCATTCCTGGGCCCTGAGCACTGGCCTCGCCACCATGCCTGATGGCAGCCACACGCAGAGTCCAAAGCTGCAGCTGCACAAGGCCAGAGGCTGGCTCTCGGGACTCTGGAGAGAAGGACGCAGCCAGCAATTTGTGTGCGCACATACGCACACAACCACAACATCTGTCTTGCCTTTAGAGGGAGGAAAACCTCCTTAGACCCGCCCATGTCAGTGGCACTGGGAGCGGGAGGCAGCAACCCTCCGAGGCAGGGGGGAGGGTGGAGCTCCAAGGTCAGGCCCACCTCAGCTTCCTCACCTGGGTGCCCCGCACCCCTGCCCCTGGAGGCCGCCAGGGGAAACTGCCAATCTCTCCGAGTTAAATCTACATTAGAAGGATTTTCTGAGCTGGCCCCTCTCCACCCTGGGATGGTCATTTACAGAATTATTCTGTAGGGTTGGTGACCCTCTTCTTCCCTCCTGCCTAGACTCAGCCTGGCCTTTGAGTAATCAACAGGTTCATTAACATAATTTACCCAGTAGAAGAACAGTCTTTCCAGAAGGTCAATTCTGATGCTCCCCAAAACCCAGAAATGACATTAGTTTGTCAAATGTCATCCTTTATTCTTTTCTCCTGCTTTCAAGAGTTTGAAGCAATAGAGTAGGAGATTGGATGTGTATTTCAGAAAGTTCATTCGGCTGCAGGTGAAGGGATCTGAGGGGCAGGAGAGAGTCCTGGGGAGAGTGAGGAGATGGGGAGCAGGGGAGCAAGGGAGAGAGGAGTAGAGGGAGTCCAGAGGTCATGGCAGGTGGAATGGGGCTTGGAGCTTTAGAGTGCTAGCAGAAGGCATGAGAGGGAGCAGGGCTGGTTTAGGTCTCACCCAGGAACTTCAGCTTCACAGGCTTGATGGGGAGGGTCAAGGTTCTTATGAGGATGCTCTGGGCTTTTTGGGAAACAGTCTGGCCGTTCCTCAAAAAATGTCACTGGGC